TGCAGCATCGGACAGATGCTGCATCCACCTAGGTGAGTGTGATATATTTTTTTTTTTTAAGAAGCCCATATTTTTCTTTTAAGTACCTGATGATTTGGTACTTCGGAATCAGATTGTGGAGGTGTGATGATCCCAATCTAGAAATTGAAAACAAGAAAGACTATAATTTAGTAACAGCTGAGAGGAAAATACCATAACTTCCTCAAAACGATAAACAGTATTATGTTGAATTTCTCAACTGTAGTCTAGATCATACATGCATAATATATATATAATATAATAACACTGCATGTGTGTGTCCCATATAACGAAAGATAAGTATTACAGAATGATACATGGATGAATGCGTAGGTTTTACAGAGAAGATGATTAGAAATAGAAATACAGAAATAAGTTTTAAAAACCCTACTTCAGCTAATATAATCCTCTGTCTGGAATAAATGCTATAAGAGATTTCCCATGACACCTATCACCTGGACAAATAGTAGGGGAAAAAATCTCCCAAATAGGACCAGACAGCAGTACAAATCTGATAGTGAGTCTAATCTTAATCTTTCTACTACAAAAATTTGTTGCCCTCTGGGTCTCTGTTGTAGGGACTTACCCCTACTTCCTGCACTGTCTAGCAACCTTAACCACACAGAGGTCCCTTACAACGATCGGTTGACACAGCGGGCACCAGATCGTTGTGCCACACGCTTCCAGGGAGCGCGCACAGGCAGTGAATGTGGAAGCCGTTTATAAACGGTCACCCGCTCCTGCACTGCTCCCGTCCAGCCGTTTATGTACAAAGGCCGGACGGGAGCAGTGCAGGAGCGGAGTGACCGTTTATAAACGGCCTCCACATTCACTGCCTGTGCGCGCTCCCTGGAAGCGTGCGGCACCACGATCTGGTGCCTGCTGTGTCAACCGATCGCTGTACGGGACCTCTGTGTGAGGTCCCGTTTCATGTGATCACTTGCTGGCCAATCAGTGATCAGAGGAACAGTAGGAAACAAGATGTCACTTCTTGACATCATTGCTTACTACGTGTGCAATCTGAATGATCACAGAGGTCACATGGTACAAGGCTATTCACAACAGCCTTGTACCATGTGACAAGCTGTGACCAATCACAGCTCGCACAGTATTTCTCAATGGCTGCAAGAATGCAGGCAGAGAGAAATGGAAATTATTGCTTTTACAGCCTTTATGGGTGTAAAAGCAATCAGTGTCAAAAAAGAAAAAAAAATTGTCATCACCCCCCCCACAAGTAGTGCAGTGTCACCATGATGACACTGTACTGCTAGGGTGATGGTATGTTAAAAAAACATAAATAATAATATAAAAAAATAAAATAAAAATGTTAAAAATGTTTTTTTTAAAAATTATAAATTTTGGTTATAAACTAATTTGGGTTATTTTTTTTTACTAAAAAGATAGCTGAATACATTTTGGCCAAGATTTATGAAGAAAGATCATTTTTTTGCAAAGTTTTATAAGAAAAACTTTTTTTTTCCAAATTTTTGGACATTTTCATTTATATAGCAAAAAAAATAAAAAATCCCAGTGGTGAATAAAAACCACCAAAATAAAGTTGTATCTGTCTCAAAAAAATGCTAAAAAATTCATATGGGTACAGTGTTGCATGACCGAGCAATTGTCATTCAAAGTGTGATAGCCCTAAAAGCTGAAAATTGGCCTGGACAGGAAGGGGGTTAAAGTTCACTCTCTCAATCGACAGTGACATTTTTTAATCCTTATCCCACAAGCATTAGTAAATAGATAATGAAGTATATCATATTTACTTGTGTTAAACTTTTTTTAACATTTCTTCACTTACTTTCTACTTTCCATGCCGAGAAACTGATGTCATACATCCCAGAAGTCTTTAGGAGGGGTTTTCTTAGCCAAACACATCCTCCTGCCTACATGCCTGAGCTAAGGGGAAATGGATTCCAGAAAGTAAATGCTATATGAATTATCTGCCTTTACTTAGGATGGCTACGACCAGAAATACTAAGGGGATGTTTTTCAAAGTGATTTATCAGCAAAATAAAGCATGGAGACATGGATGGATGGATGAGTTTGCTTTGAATATTACAATAGAAGGGAAATCTTCCTAACAATGTCACGGATAAAAAAGTTGATAGAGGTTCTAACCCTTCCCCATTCTGTTAAAAAGGTTTTGTAACATCTTTGCTGGAATAAATATTAACAGGAAATTTGTCCACACCGTTTATTGTGGATTTGGGAATGGAAGAAATTCCAATGTGTATGCCAACTTTTATCAGATGTGATAGCCCAAGGATGTCTTTCAAAAAACTGAATTCTTGCTCAACATACAGTTGTAAAGGAAAGGGGAGACACCTCCGGAGTGGATGTCATTGGGAAACATACTTTATCATTACCGGTTTGGGTCATCTACTCCGGGTTGCACTGATTGGTCATGGCACTGGCCATAGCAGAGGAGAGAAAAAGGCGCAGACCTTTATGCTTTTAGACAGCAGAGTTTTGCCTTAGAGCATATTTAAATCCATTTTCCACTTCAGGCTTTCCTTGTTCAAGCTGTAACCCTAGGTTCACATCTGTACGGGTGGTGCCACTGCAGATCCGCACGAAAATCCGTGCAGCCGCACTACCCACACAGAGGAATGCGGAACCGCGGGCGGGTGCCATTAGTGCTAATGGCACGCCACCCGCACTGGAGAACGCAACCGTACTGGGAACCAAGGTTCCCATGCAGGCTGCGTTTTCCAAAGAAGTGCAAGGACTTCTTCCTTGTGTGTCACGGGAGGGAGTCCATTCAAATGAATGTGCTCTTGTGCCCTTGTAAAACATGGCCCGCACGGCCGCATAGATGTGAACCGGGGGTAAAAGTTTTTTTGTTTTTTTTAAATATAAAAGATAATCCTTGGACCTTAGCATCAACACACACTAGTTTTTCTTAATTTTTATTTTTTTTGTAACTCATTTATGGTACTTATATAGCACCATCAATTTACACAGCACTTTACATAATGTATATATTGTACATTTACATCAATCCCTAACCCTCAAGGGGCATACAATCTAAGGTCCCTAACTCACATTGATACATACACATACTAGGGCCAATTTTATACAGAATCCGATTAACCTACCAGCATGTCTTTGGAGTGGTGGGAAGAAAGAACTGAGAGTCTTTGGAGTGTGGGAAGAAACTGAAGTACCCGTAGGAAACCCACACAGGCACAGGGAGAACATGCAAACTCCAGGCAGGTAGTGCCATGGTTGGGATTTGAACCAACGACCCTAGTATTGCCAGGTGGAAGTGCTAACCAGTTAGCCACTGTGCTAAACATGTAATAATATATAATATTAAAGCTTACAAGACCAGTTGATGGTTTTGGACGAAGGGTCAACTTTAGCGGATGGTTGCAGCTCTGATCTACGCTCTCCAGTTCAATTTCCTTTGGTCTTGTCCTGTCTGAGTATTAGAATGTTTTCAGCCTATGACAGATCTGGTGGTTTATTGAATTGTCAATAAAATTAGTGTATTTTAAATATAAAAATCACACAAATATTTCCCTTATTGCAGCTAGAAAACATATAGTCATAGTGGCGTCTTCACTATTTAACAGGTGTTTCTAAGGTTTTGACACAATATTATTGCCTATGAGGAACATGGAGAACTATATACTTTTTATGACATGGTTATATGTTTGAATTATATTGAGTGTATATTTTGATATTTTAAAATGCTGAACGTGTATCAATATCTTTATTAGCTTAGGATTTATTACCAAATAACAGATTTCTTGTGTAGTTAAAGAGGAATTTTTATTGTTTAAGAAGTCAATGTTCAAAACCTGGGCCATTTCCTTGGCTGAGACCTTCCCAGGAAATAACCTTCAAGAGCAGGGGCAGTCCCAGGAAAACAGCAAATTGAAACTATTAAATAATGTTTACATATTGAATAAAAATTTAATTCTACTGATAACTAAAGCTAGAGGGTTGAACGAAAAAAAAAAAATTAATAGATTCCTCCATTCATACAAATGAGGTGGATGGAGCATTTCCCTCCGTACATTGTATTCTGATAGCGGGACGCACCACTATCAGAATAGATTGTAGATTGTAGACCTCCTCCGCTCTCCCCACCACTCCATCCCCCACAGCTATTTCCTCCTGTACCACTCTCCCCTCCTAGATTGTAAGCTCCAAGGAGTCTCATGTATTGTCTCCCATTGTAATGTACAGTGCTGAGTAAACTGTTGGCGCTATATAAATACTGTGTAATAATAATAATAATAGATTGATCAGCAGCTGCAGCTGACTGGCTGCAGCACATAATCGACAAGTTTCCCAGCATGTCCCTTTTACAGAAGCCGAGCAAATGATTAACTTCTGTCAGCCAGGGATGGCCACACACTGCTCGAGATTTAGCTGGCTCCTATAGAACTGACCAGATATCGACCAGTCTATGAGCACCTTTAACATGATAAAATGCCTTCACCAAATAATAAAAGAAGATAACTAAGCCAAAATACAACTCAGGTTTTCTTGCGCTTTCTTGCAATACATGTGTTAATTATTAGGACTTACAGGTGCAAGACTTTCCCATACTAAATTCTAGAAGATTTGCCAAGGTCCTATAGACAAATCAAGAAAAGCTTAATTCAACATTTCCTTACAGCAGCCCACTCCGTTATTGCTAGACATTAGCAGCAACCCTCTGCACTCTTCTTGGCTGATTGGGCTTGTGAAATGGACAGGATCAAAACCCCTGGAACGCATGATAGCGTGGATGGATAATAAGACTGACTCTTACAAACCTATGTGGACCATCTGGTCACATTTCCAGTTTTCCTCAAATTTTGGGGCCTTTGTAATTGTTACTTCTGGGGTCTCTCAGATATACCGTATTTTCCGGCGTATAAGACGACCCCCTACTTTTCCTGTTAAAATATAGGGTTTGGGCTATACTCGCCGTATAAGACTACCCCTCTTCCAACGCACACCAAATAAAAATTAAAAAACATCAGATTTGATTTCAATATGGTATGGTAATCCAATGATGGGGCACGATTCCTCGCTCTGACACCAATGATGGGGCACGATTCCTCCCACTGACACCAATGATGGGGCACTATTCCTCCCACTGACACCAATGATGAGGCACTATTCCTCCCATTGACACCAATGATGGTGCCCCATCATTAGTGTCAGTGTGCGAGGAATAGTGTCCCATCATTGGTGTCAGAGCGAGGAATCGTGCCCCTTCATTGGTGTCAGTTGGGAGGAATCGTGCTCCATCATTGGTGTCAGAGCAACGAATCATGCCCCATCATTGGTGTCAGTGGGAGGACTAGCACCCCATCATTGGTGTCAGTGGGAAGGGTGCCCCATCATTGGTGTCATGGTAGCACCCCATCATTGGTGTCAGTGGGAAGAATGGTGCCCCATCATTGGTGTCAGTGGGAGGAACAGCACCCCATCATTGGTGTCAGTGGGAGGAATAGCACCCCATCATTGGTGTCAGTGAGAAGAATGGTGCCCCATCATTGGTGTCAGTGGGAGGAACAGCACCCCATCATTGGTGTCAGTGGGAGGAATAGCACCCCATTATTGGTGTCAGTGGGAAGAATCGTGCCCCATCATTGGTGTCAGTGGGATGAATAGCACCCAATCATCGGTGTCAGTGGGAGGAATAGTACCCCGTCAGTGGGGAGAGGAATAGTGCCCCATTGTTGGTGTCAGTGGGGGGAGGAATAGTGCCCCATCGTTGGTGTCAGTGGGAGGAATAGTGCCCCATCATTGGTGTCAGTGGGAGGAATAGTGCCCCATCGTTGGTGTCAGTGAGAGGAAAAGTGCCCCATCGTTGATGTCAGTGGGAGGAATAGTGCCCCATCATTGGTGTCAGTGACACCAATGATGGGACACTATTCCTCCCACTGACACCAATGACACTTGCTGACCCCTGTTCCAGTAGGGTGCTGCTGCAGCCAGCATATGTGGTTGCAGCAGCACCTCTGCACTGCACACTTACCGGCTGCTCCCTCACTCAATTTTCGCGGGTCCGCTCAGCTCCGCCTCCTTGCCCATGATTGGCCGCCTGTGTGCCTTTCCTGAGCTACAGTTCTGGCGGCCAATCACCGGTGAGGAGGTGGAGCCGAGCGGCAGGAGTGAGGGAGTGGCTGTAGTGACTGAATCAGCAGCGCTTCCTGGATGGATCGTCGTGGGAGCCAGGTAAGAGACAGCAGCCCTCTGCCCACCCCTGTACTTAGTGTCCCTTCCGTCGGAAGGGGGGACGGCGGCAGCACCACGCCATCCCCCTAAAAAGTGCCGCCCTGACGTATACCAGCGTATAAGACGACCCCCGACTTTTGAGAAGATTTTCAAGGGTCAAAAAGTCGTTTTATACGCCGGAAAATATGGTAGGTAGCATCCGCCTCTCCCTTATCTTTCCCCTCTTGTCCCCTCTCCCCCCCATCTATTTATTTATTTTTTTCTGTTTTCTCTCTCTTTCACCTTTACTATATTATATACCTCTCACAATGGACTTAATATTTTTTACCTGTTTCTCATATACACGGTCCTCTGTAATACACTGTTCAGAAATGGGAAAGGGAACTGGGAACAAAAATGAATGAATCACAGAAAAATAAAATTTTTAAATTAACACATTGGTTGATTAACATGAACATGGTTGAAATGAATTATACATGTTTAACGAGGTGTTATTTGACACAGAGTGTTGTATATAAACAATGAGTAGAAGTCTCACCATTATGCTGGAGGGGATGTATATCAAAGGGAACAATGGCACATATATGGTGGGATTGTCCAAAAATACAGGGGTTTTGGCAAGATGTAATCCAGTTCATACAAGAGATTTTGGGGACAACTATACAGAAGGATCCGTGGGAGTGTTTGTTTTATAGGACAGAAAGCACTAGTGAAGCAGTATATAAATTGTGTATTTTACCACCTAAGCAGTGCGGCTAAAGGGCTTATTCCAAAATTTTGGCAGGTACAGGAGCCTCCAACAATGAGGGACTGTTAGACAGGGTGGAATATATAAATAGGATGGAGGAATTATACCATATAGACAAAGGTAATATGGGTTAATTTAGAAAGGATTGAGGACGATGGTCTGACTTCAAGGCATCTGGAAAATGTTATATATATTTTATATATACTTAGTATATATATAAGTAGTGGGAGGCCTAGGGATCTGATTGGAGGTAGGAGAATAAAGGGAATGTTTTGTAAGGCAGTAGCAGGAATAGGAGAAGGGAAAAGAAAGGTTGGAGGGAAAGAATAGTAAGAAAAACTAGAAAAGCTACAATTTCTGGGTAAATTGTGTAAAGTAGTCTTGCCTCCACCAGTAGTCTACAACTGGAGTGGGCAGAGTAACTGGGTGGAGTGGCTTGAGTAACTGTTGTGTGGTTGGAGTGGCTGGAGTAACTGAAAAGGTTGGACTGGTCAGAGTAACTTTATGGAGTGGGCAGAGTAACTGTGTGGAGTGTTTGGAGTGAGTAAAGATAGTAAACATTACACTAACCAATGATTGATCAAATTTAAAAAGTGCACATGGCAAGCTTGATAGAGTGAGAAATGCATTTCAACTTTTAATTATTTATATAGCACATTTAATTGCAATTTTGTTGTCCAAAGTGCTTCACAGTTACATTAAAACATACATTTATAAAAACATTAGCAGCATTATCACCTCAAATACTCTCTACTGTAAACTTATTTCCAAACCTTTAACCAGAAGTCGGCCAAACTGTCACGAATTCAAAATTAGATTTCAAATAGGGCAAATAAGAGCGGTTAAAAACAAACTGCTCCAAATTGCTCACTTCACTGGCATCTTCAAATGGTTGTAGTTTTAAAAACTATAAATCCTACAGTGAAGAGCTTTATATTGTGAGAATCACAAGACCCAGACCTACATTTTGATGCATAGTATGTCTCTAAAATATTAAAAATGAAGGCACAGTTGCAGTTTAGAAATTGCCCTTCAAATTTGAGGTGCCTAGAGTGGAGTTTCAATGAATGTCAATGGGTGGTGTGAGTTGCAAACAAATGGTCATATTGTGAAAACTATCAGGACTATGGCTTAGCTGTGGATACTTTTAGTGGCAGCAGGGATAGCTGAACATTTTGATATAAGATTTGTGTAGGTGGGCTTGAAAATGAGGGAGTTATTATTATTTTGAAATAATGTCCTGATTTTTCAGCTCACACTCTAGCTTTTAAACATTCCGCCATTCATTCCTTACGGGACCAATTTCAACACAAAAACGCCAATATTTGTTAACCATTCGGTGAAACGTTCCATAAACTAATAGCACACCAATTGGGAGCAATCCGCACGTTTCGGTATATTACTGTCTATGTTGTGTAAAAACTGTGGGAGGAGTTAGGGTGGTAAATTTGGCTATAATAAGAATATATCTGTGAGATAACAGTAAGTGGTCTTGCCATACAAGAACACTTAATTAAGAGTTGGAAGCAAGGATTGAGGAGAGAGATCATAGGTATGGAATGGAAAGTTGGAAAGATAAAGGAAGAGCTATATGGACCGGGATAAATCGTTAGGGGGTGTGGGGGAGGGGGGGGGGGTAGCAGGGAGGTGGGATTGCAAAATTTAGGGGAATGTTTGTATTTTGGATGTAAATGTTATTTTGCTGTGTTTTTGTAATGGGAAAAAAAAGTTTAATAAAAGATTTACATAAAAAAAAGAAAAAAACAATTAAATGGACATGTACCCTTAAGGTTGTGCTCTGTACTGTTTAAAAACTCAATAAAACAGTTTCAACATAAACTCTAGAAGATAACCATAAAGATCCATAGGTGTCTGTAGTGCAAGATCTTTGGTAAAAATCTGTCCAGCAGCTGAAGAGGGAGCAGACCAGACCTTACACAATTTTTAGTACTCTGTTTAAGGTGGAATTTTGAGTAAAATACTAAATTACACGTATGGTGCAGTCTTTTACTAGTATTTATCCACCAATTTCATTTATAAGCCTCACTTGCATCATAGTTTTTTAGTAGTACCCCCAAAAGGGCCACTGATGGATGATGACTAAACATGATAAAAGCATATTCACTGTGCCTCTCCTGGGGACTCCTCTCCCCAGCAGCAGATCCACAGTCCAGGAGAGGAGGTGGTTGTCCTCTCTCTCCCCAGTGGCAGTTCAGAGAGTCCAGAAGATTTAGCAGCTGGCTCATCTCCTTAACAGTAGTTCAACATTCCAGGAGAGGAGGTGGTCATCCTCGCTCCCCAACAGTCAGCTAGAGAGGAGGAAACTGTTTTCCCTTCCCAGCAAGGATCTGTGCACCTGGGAGACAGTACCGGCAAAAATGTCATCCCAGCAACTGGATGAGCATATGGGAGATCGAGCAGCCATCTCATCTCCCCAGCAGCAGTTCAAGAACAAGGGAGGGGAGGAGGTTGTCCTCCCTCCCCAGCAGCAAGTCCACAGTCTGGGAGAGGGGGCAGCTGTCCTCCCTGCCCAACAGTAAGCCAGAGCAGAGGATCTGGGGTCCCCAGCTGAAGCACTGGTAACAGGGCAGAGCACCGCTGGCCTTTGTCCAGCACCTACCATGTCTTCACAGCTCTAGGGAGCTGTGGCAGTCGGCCCCTCTCTCCAGCAGCAGACAAGTCCCAGATTGGTAAAAACCTACCAGCTGAAGCACTGGCAGCCAGACAGAGGGTCCATGACCTCTGCTCCTCGCCTATCGATGGCAACTCTTTCCTGCAGCCAAGAATGGAGATTGTGTAGACCAAAAATGTGGGTTCACTTTGCCCACCTAATGCATGTCAACAGGTGGAGGTCTGGAACCTGACTAGTCGACTTTTGAGAGGGGAGAAATGTGACAGACCCAACCGGAACAGGTGCTTTTGGAGGGGACTAGGGGCTAGCCTTCTACCCACTGATTGTGACCATGGAGAGAGCAGATCATTCCCTAATGATGGACAACAACGTGATGAATGCAGGGAGCGAGACTTGGATTCATTCTCTGCATAAAGACAATAAATCTTCCCTTCCGGAGTGGATGGAAAGATGCAATATTAATCTTGTACAGGTTTATGGTCATAGGAAATATGGTGGCCCACATGCGGACTGGGTTGGAGAAGCTCCTTTTTTGGGACATAAATATTTATCAACAATCTCCCTCAAGAAATCTATGAAGATAAATTAATTCCACTTTTCAGACTGTTGGAATATTGTATGAGTTTTGTTTCATGATGAATAGATTATACAAGTGCAAGCAAACACCTGAAAGACAGCATGTGTAATATACTTTGTGTATTCAGGGGTGGGTTTGTTGCTAGTCTGTCTGAGGTGGCCTCCTGATTGATTAATTAAAGCATTGTTGGGGTGCTTGGCTGTTGATTAGCTTACTGTTAATTAGATCACTGTTAGCTGTACTGTTTACTGTTTACACTGTTTAGGATAATATGATCAAGCTCTTATCTAATCAGTGTGGGATGTTTATGTGTAAT